GGTATGTGCCTATGGTGCGAAATACGCCAAAAAATTCCAAAGAAGAAGAAGAAGACTCTGAACAGACGTCATCGATCGCTCGCACGCGTCATCGCTGCCAGGCGGCTCAGTCGAGCGGTGACGTCATCGAGCGAGCGCCTGAAGATGGCGGATCCGAATGCAAAACAAACCGGACAGAAAAGGTAAACATGTTTCATAAACAGCGTTTTTACGGATAAATCTCGCGAATGCAGCTGCAACGATGCCTGTAATGCGGTACAGACTTTTGTGTGTCATTAAAAATCAAAACAAATCCATATTAAAACGGACACACCCGAACAAACGTCGTATTAAAATGTATATCAACACATGATACCTGCCTCTCTATTATCATGCGTTATTAATAATCTCGAGGAAAAGAGCAGCAGCAGTTTACTATTATATATTTATAATCGGGATGTTGAAGTTCAGATTGATCGTCACTGTTCATTCACGATCGAGAGTAAAAGCACCAGTAAACCTGTTTAAACTTTGAAGATCAAGTTTGCAGATTTCTTTGTTTTTGTCTTTTGATTGTACGTTTAATTTTCCGAAAGAAGATGCTCCCTACTGAGGGCCCTTCAGATGATCACATGATGTCACACTCATTATCCGCATGTGAAGGATGAGTGTTCATTTAATCCTCGTGACACAAGGAATTTGAGTTTAGTGAATTAAACATGTGTATTAGATAGCTGTCTGTGTCAGGAATATCATGTTTATATCTGTCTCATGTTATTCGTCCAGCAGCCCGAGATAATAAAGTGATGATCAGTGAGTCAGTAAACGGCTCAGTAGATGGTCATTTCTTTAGTAGTCTGCCTGTAGGACATATCAGTTTTACTATTTAGCAAATGTTGTGATAATCCAGTGAGATGTTTCTGAGATTACGTGGAGAAAAAAAACAACACACGACTGAAGGGCAAACCCATAAGCGATCTGTGGCAGCTGTTTCAGATATTTCTGACTGATTCTTTGCGTTTGTTTCTCTGTGTGTCTGTTCTGCTGAGCTTCATCCAGTGTGTATTTTAGTTTATCACACACACGTTCCTGATCAGATTCACAGAGTCTTCAGAGCTGCTCGTTACTTCAGCTGTCTAACAAGTGTTTCCAAACCGTCCAGAAACACGTCTTATCACACAAACACTCAGAGCCACAGGAGAGCTGTCAGAAATAATCCTAACTGAAGAATGTGCATGATGTGTTTCAGTCGCACCGCAGAGTCTGCGTTCATGAGGAGTCCCCATGTGTTCTCTGTGAAGCTGATGTTGTGTGTGTTTCAGTGTGAAGATCGCAGCCGGAGCAGTCGTGTGTGTGGAGAGCGACATCCGAGGAGACGTGACCATCGGTACATTCACTCACAAAACACACTTCAGCCGCTGACAGTGTGATGAGACACAGATACCATTTACCATGGGTTATAAACACAGACAGCTGTGCTCCTGTCCTCTGATTGGCCGGTCCAGTGTTGCTATAGTAACGGTGACATGACATCACTGGCGACGCCAATCAAAGCAATGAGTTTATGAACATTTGTGCTGTTCATGTTTATGTAGAGGTGGTTTTATCAGGAGCTGTGAGTGAAGAGCTGCTTCGCTCTGCAGGATGATGATCACGATCTGCTGACTCTGGTTTCAGGAGCGAGGACCGTGGTTCACCCGAAGGCGCGGATCATCGCAGAGGCCGGACCCATCGTGATCGGAGAGGGAAACCTGATCGAGGAGCAGGCCCTGATCATCAACAGGTCAGCGCTTTATTACTCGCGCTGTTCCTCACGAGACGGCCTTCAGCTTCCAAACACAAATGAACATAATAAGCTAAATAAGCTGAATAAGCTAAAACACAGAATAAAGTGTACCGAACAGTGACGTGACGCGATCAAATGGCACCCAGCGTAGAGTGAGAGGCTTGCACTCTTTATAATAAAGCAAACGTGGGCGATGTGGAAGCATTTAAAGTGTCATGAAACCCTCTGCTTCAGCGCTGGTCTTTCACAGCTTAGATCTGAAGAAGACTCCAGAAATGGGCTGTAAAACTGTGGAAAAGTGGGAGAAAACAACCAATAAAACACAGACCTACAACACACTCATTACACAGACAAATGAAAATATCTTTAAAACTGAAAGAATAAAGGCAGTTACTTTCTGCTTACTCTTCTTTCAATTGTTCGGTCTTTATATCATGGTTTGCTGTGTATCACAATAATCCGTCGTGTCATCTGCACATCTTTTATTTGAAGAAGACATGATATGTGCGTGTTCTGGGTCTGGGAGAATATGAAATATGTTCACATAAACTTATTATGAGTTAATGCTCATGAATAATACTGAGAAAAGTACTCTCCAGCCGCGGCAGATTAACACATATATCTCACTTTCTGTGACGTTGGTTCAACTTTGCTTTTTGAACCAGAAGAACGAAATTGATTCAAAAAATGAACAAATAACCACTTTTCTCTTAACAATAGACATAATGAATGCTAAAGTTGTTTTCACTGAAGTGAAACCTGTTCATATATGTTCACATCTCAAAAAATGTGTTTTAGGGTTTCATGACACTTTAAAAGTGTCTGAGAAAGACGTAAGAATCATTCCAAGCACCGACAGCGAGAGACTGTTTAGCGCTGCAGCGCATGTCTCTGATGAGAAGAGGAAGGGTGGCTGTTACTGTAAACTATTAGTAAATAAACTGCAGAATGTTGTTTTCTGATACACACACGAGTTGCTTGTATTCTGACAGCGATGACGAGCTTGCGGCGCTATCTGCTCGTTAGCAAGGGTTAGCCAAGTCCAAAGGAGGAAAATCTGCGCTGAAACAGCGTTACTCGTCAGCTGCTCAGAAACATCTTTACCAATTTTTACTAGGAATGTGACAGTGTGATACGTGCGACAAACATATTCCCAAATTCGTAATGAGAATCATTTATAAATCTGCTGTTGACAACAAAAAGAGTCACTGAGATCTTCCTGCTGGTTTCCGCCAAAATAAAAGCTGAGAAAGAGTAAGAACTCCATCAGCATTCATAAATGCTAGTATTATAATTTTACTGTTGTTCTATAAAATAATAAATAAGACAATAATAATGATATTAATAATTACTACAGATATATTAATACATTTATTATAAGATTCACACATAGTGTTCAATTTGGGATCTGTAATATTTTCTAATGTTTTAAAATAAGTCTCTTCTGCTCAGCGAGGCTGCATTTATGTGTACAGTTAAAAATACACGCCTGATTCAGAATCAGCTTTATTCGCCAAGTGTGCGCAAACACACAAGTAATTTGTTGTGGTTTTTAAGAAGCTCTTGGTACATGCATACATACATACATGCATACTGTATATACATATCTGACATGAAAACAGAAACATTTAAATAATACTTAACAATAAATAATAATGTGTATGAATCTGGAACAGAAGATTTATGTACAGATTTGTGCATTATTTACTCTATATATACAGCTGTATAAAAAATATGCATATGTATTTACGTAGTACTTGAGAGAGAGGCAATAATTATTGATGGAGGATGAATTACAGGCTTGAATTACAGAACACAGGTAATGATTCCTGTGTTAGCTGTTTAGGCTGGAGATGGCATGGGGGAAAACTGTTTTTATGTCTAGATGTTCTAGTGCGCAGAGATCTGTAGCATCTGCCTGAAGGGAGAAGTACAAACAGGTTGTGTCCGGGGTGAGAGGGGTCTGTGATGAAGTTACCTGCTTGTTTCTTCACTCTGGAGTTGTACAAGTCCTGAAGATTGGAGAAGGGTCTGGCTGCAGACATACACTTGCACTCTCAGACACCTGCACTTCCGTGAGTGACGTCACTTGCAGTCTTTTTTTATTTAATTTAATTGATTAATTTAAATTGAATCTCTCAACATTTTACACAAGTAGCCAGGTGGTGAAGACAAGAAAAAAGAAACTAAATCACGAAGTCACTTGCAATCGCCGCTTGCACTCTCAGCTACTTGCAATCCACACGAATCGTGCGTGTTGCCAATGGAGACAAGACGCTGTGGTGGTTAAATGATTAAAACAAATTTAGTACTATAACATACAGGGTCCTGCAAGTCATCTGTAGGAGAAAAAGACAAGACCCGCAAATCCGTGGCCACAGAACAGCAGAATATGAACGCCATGTGCAAAGTCTCTCTTTAAGCGCTTTTAAACCTCCCGTAGACAACCATACACTTAATATGGCTTAATGTGTTAAGATAGTGCTATTAAAAGATCAAATTCGATATAGTTTATTCATTTAATGTACTAGGCTACTACAAGGCAAGCATATGCTCATGAACACAACGAGCAAACTTATACTTTTCCTCCCATACGCCTACAGCAAAACGCTTAATGTGCCATAACGGACTAAGATGATAACGACGAGCATATGAGGGCTTTATAATCTTAGACCCTTATGCCACTTTATGCCACCTTTTGCGGTATGGGAGGAAAACACTATATACATACATTATATTAATAAACTTAATTTGATCTTTTAATAGCACTATCTTAACACATTAAACCATATTAAGTGTATGGTTTTCTACGGAGGTTTAAACGCGCTTAATGAGAGACTTTGCGCATCTGCTCTGTGTGTGTAATTTGATCAGCCAACAGTTCTAGCGCGGCTCTCACACGCGCATCAAGAGGAATCTACACACTCACCAGAATAAACGAGGAAAACTCCTGCGGCGAATAAAAAGGCTTACAGTTAATAAAGAGAGCTTCCAAGTTTGGGCAGCACATCTTCTTTAAAACTGTCACATCTGTAAACCAGCCTTCATTGATATAAAAACATAATCCACCGCCTCTCGTTTTCCCCGATGACTCGGTGACGCGGTCCGCTCTGAACAGCTGGAAGCCCGTTAGATGATGCATGCTGTCCGGGATGGCTCCGTTCAGCCAGGTTTCCGTGAAGCAGAGCGCAGCGGAGTTTAAAAAGTCCTTGTTTGTGCGGGTGAGGAGTTGTAGTTCGTCGGATTTATTTGCAAGGGAGCGGAGATTCGCCAGATGAATACTCGGCAGTGGTGTCCTAAAACCGCGCTGATGGAGTTTCACGAGCGCGCCGGCACGCTTTCCTCGCTTGCGTCCCCTGGAGCGCTTGTATAGGAACGCAGCTCCTCCGACTAAAATGTCCAGTAAAACGTCTGAATGTTCAAGCGTCGGCAAAAAGTTATCTGGTGTGCTATTCCTTATGTCCAAGAGTTCGTTTTTAGTGAAGCTGATCGGAAAAACGTTGCTTAAGACAGGACAAACAAACAAAAACAGTAAAAGTACCGAGGAGCAACAAACCGAGGCGGCCATGTGCGGCGCCATCTTGAATTGTTGAATTATTCAAGAAGGGGGTCTCAAAAATAGCCAACAAGTATTACTTTACTAACTTATTAATTTTAAGTTAAATTGTGGTTAGTTGGTGTAATGTCTGCTAGAATGTAAAAAAACCAAAAAATGTTTGTGTTCAATTCAGTGTTAAATAAATAAAAAAAATTCAGTGTTAAATAAATATTTTTTAATTATTGTTTTTTAATTGCTTTTTTTCTATGAAAAGCAAGACAAAACAATAAAAAGCACATTTTGGCTATTTGTGACCCTGGAGCACAAAACCAGTCATAAGGGTCAATTTCTGAAATAAATAATCTTTCCATTGATGTATGGTTTGTTAGGATAGGACAATATTTGGTTGAGATACAACTATTTGAAAATATTTCTTGTTTCTTCTGCGTTTCTTCTGCGTTACTTCTGTTTCTTCTGCGTTTCTTCTGTTTCTTCTGCGTTTCTTCTGTTTCTTCTGTTTTTCTTCTGTTTCTTCTGCGTTTCTTCTGTTTCTTCTGCGTTTCTTCTGTTTCTTCAGACTCAGCATGAAGCTTTTGCCGGCTCAATCTAACTTGAGTTTGTTTCCAGTGTCTCAGGCCTTAAAAATTGGGGACAACAACGTCATCGAGTCTAAAGGTGAGCGTCTGAAGCGTGTCGACGAGTAACGTGTGTACAGTGATGTGTTTAATGTGTGTGTGTGTTGTAACGGTGGTTGTCTTGTCCCAAAATATAACAAAAATAACAAACACACACACACAAAAAAACCCCTATCTGAAGCGGGAACCGAACCCGGGTCACCCGTGTGATGACGCTGAGTCCTAACCGCAAGACCACGTTTTGTTCTTAACGATGACTGCACTCAGACTTTACTCGACTCTCAGACCGAAAGCCTCAAAAACACAATCAGTTATTAATGTTCGGGCGCCAGACAAGTATATACCTGCCACATCTTTATATTCATTTCATTCATCCCTGATAGCACATCAGACAAACAAAACCATCCGCTACATACAAAAGAGTTAACGATAGAACAAAGGCAACAATACAGGAAAAGTTGTATGCAACTTTCTTTGTTTTTAATGAGGTATCGTTAATATAATATGGACAAGTTTTTAGATCTCTAAGCACCACAATTCCACTTAAAAAAAGAAAGAAAAATAATCGAACAAAACAAACCAAAACAAAACAGCACTTTTTAAATATGCAGAAATTAGTGCAATGAATGTACAGTGGGTACGGAAAGTATTCAGACCCCCTTAAATTTTTCACTCTTTGTTATATTGCAGCCATTTGCTAAAATCATTTAAGTTAATTTTTTTTCCTCATTAATGTACACACAGCACCCCATATTGACAGAAAAACACAGAATTGTTGACATTTTTGCAAATTTATTAAAAAAGAAAAACTGAAAAATGCTCAGTATTTAGTAGAAGCACCCATTTGATCTAATACAGCCTCAATATGGGGTGCTGTGTGTACATTAATGAGGAAAAAAAATTAACTTAAATGATTTTAGCAAATGGCTGCAATATAACAAAGAGTGAAAAATTTAAGGGGGTCTGAATACTTTCCGTACCCACTGTATGTGTGACTGCGATTAGAGCGAACACTGACTAAGGTCTGTCGTGCTGCTGAGTGGTTTGTGATTGTAGCTCGGTGTAGCTTCGCTTTTCTGTTGAATCTCTATCTTACTATCACTCTCTGTTGTTTAAAGTGATAAACTATAACTTAATTCCCACCATATTTCTGATATTATCTATCAAACTAATCTGATTTTATTCTAAAACTACGAGTGCAGCACGCGTGCAGCGTGTTAGCATTGATTAGCTATTAGCGTCTATTGCTGTTTTCTTTTTTTTCTCTCGCTCCGTTTCTTTTCTCTCTCGCTCTGTTTTTGCACGAGTTCATCAAACAACTGTGGTAAGTCAGAATCATTCATCAATCATGGTGAGTAATGGCTTCTTCTCCTGCTATTGTTGTTTGCACCGCTTGCCTCAGTGACGCACCCGCTGAGAAACCTGATCAAAGTGCTCTAGTTATTGGCGATTCTATTGTACGGAACGTGAAAATAGAGACACCAGCCACTATAGTCCAATGTTGCCAGAGCGCCTAACATCATGCCAAATTTAAAAGTGCTGGCTAATGCTAAACGTAAATACAGAAAAATTGTTATTCACGCCGGCGCTAATGATGTTCGACTTCGCCAGTCGGAGATCACTAAAAATAACATTAAAGAGGTGTGTGAACTTGCAAGCATGATGTCAGACACTGTAATATGCTCTGGTCCCCTCCCTGCTTACCGTGGTGACGAGAAACATAGCAGACTGTCGTCACTCAATGGCTGGATGTATACAGATGTTATTCCCCTGTAAAGACCTTGTCTCAGACGACCACCGGGACAAGACCACAGGAACCAGATGAGTCCTCTGCACAATGTGACTTTGCTGCAGCCTGGAATTGAACTGCTGGTTTTGTCTGGTCAGAGGAGCACTGGCCCCCGACTGAGCCTGGTTTCTCCCAAGGTTTTTTCTCCATTCTGTCACTGATGGAGTTCTGGTTCCTCTGGATTGCTTAGTTGGGGACACTTAATATCCAGTGATATCATGGACTTGATTGCAAAGATACTATTTAAACTGAACTGAGCTGGATGATGACATCACTGAATTCAATGATGAACTGCCTTTAACTGAAAATTGAGTGTTTACTATTGTCCTTCTGCATTATTGACACAATATTTTACTATTTAACAGAAAACACCGTGATCTACGGCTCCGAGTGTTTGAGACGTGTGCAGACCGAGAGACCGCAGGTAACACACACACACACCGTGTGTTTCTGATACACCAGAGAAACCTGCTGCTATTCTGACCGTCTCTGTTCTCTCTAGCCTCAAACGCTGCAGCTGGACTTCCTGATGAAGATCCTGCCCAATTACCATCATCTGAAGAAGACCGTGAAAGCAAGCTCCACTCCGGCGAGAAGCTGAGCATCTCAGATATCAGTGCTGTTTCTGTGTTAGAGTGTCATAGCTTGTGTTGTAAGTTATTGAGGACACATTAAATACACCTCCATGTCTCACTGTCCATGTGTTTCTTTTCTTCTCCACACGGTGGCGCCAAATGACAGACATAGAAGCAAACTCCTCACCTTTCAGTGACAACTGGCCTTTTTTGAGTTCAGAATGGTTCACCAATGAGATTTGCTTAGATCCAATGAGAAAGTGAGAAGGGGGGGGGAGTAATTTCTTTACTCTTTACTTCAAAAACTATGTCTAAACGGTAATATTTTGTGTATCTGAGGTCTGAGATGTGGGAACGGTGAAGAGAGAGAGTGGGTGAACATTTTGCATTTTAGGTCAGCATTGCTGTCTAATCAGACAATATTGTCTTTAATAGCACTTCATCTTAATAACATGGGATTTTGACCAAATATATTCAATCTTGATTTTTGTAAAATGTTACAACAAGATGTTTTTTATTTATGATTATTTATTTATTTGTGAAAAATTACAGCTTTGGACATATAAGGTAATACAAATATTTAAAAAATACCTTAAAGTAACTACAAATGAGCATGTAAAGCAAATATCTTTAAAATAACTCCGTGTGGAGCATGCCCCCGATACGCTGTTCTTTTCCCTCTTACCTGTTTGACTATGATTTCTGTTATTGTGGCACATGCATATTAAATTCAGCTTTTTTGATCGCTGATAATATAGAAAATATAAGTTCTCATTTTATTGAGTATGACAGTGTGTATAAATAGCAAACAGTGAGTCTGTGGGAAATAAAGGGCAGTGATTCTCTGCTTAAGCTGCTCTGAGAGATGCCCTTTGCATCAGGGTTTGAACTTCTGATGGGAATTGACACTTACTCTGCATTATTTCTGTACACTTTATTTTTTCCTCTTAGAGTAACATTTTAAATATTTGTGGCAAACTTCTAATTCATATCACCAGCAGCGTTTTATAAATGCATCACTCACGATGTGTTATGCTAGAGACGAAAAGAGTTAAATAAAAGGTTATTGTTGCTCACTGAAGCTCGCGCCTCTGACCGCGGGAGCGCGCACAGCAGACAGACGCGCTGCACGAGCTGATGCTTATAATTGCATTCTTCTGCTCCAGAATGAACAACAGCAGCGAGAATGAGCCCAGCAGCCCAGGAGAACAGGTGAGTTACTCCTAATGTCAGACAAACTAAAGCTGGCAGTGCATGATCTCCGTCATGGATCTCTGGTTTGGCTTTTGTGCTCTCAGTCATTATGATTGTCTTCTGATCTCTAGTTCTGTACTCTGACATACAGTAACATCTCTGTAATACTGTGAGTGTTGACCCATCAGATGCAGAGAGTCCTGTTTCTGGTTTTTCTGCAGGTCAGGACTCTGTTTGTCAGTGGCTTGCCGCTGGACATCAAACCCAGAGAGCTTTACCTGTTATTCAGGCCTTTTCAGGTGCGTGGAGTTTGATCTGAATCCACAAGACATGAAGTACATTTACATGATTACTGTACTTAAGAGCTCCTTTCCGTATCTGTACTTTACTTTACTTGAGTAATATATTTTTCTGGATACTTATGACTTTAACTTCACAACATTTGCAAGACAGATATCATACTTTTCACTCCACTACATTTCTATCAAGGTCCTCGAAGTATGCCGCAGCTTTGAGAGTCAGCGAGGGATTTTTTCTTCTTCTCTAAAACATGACTTTTTTTCCAGACAGTTTATCAGTAATCACTCTTGGAGGGTTACACAGAGTGATTTCTCAGCATTTCTTGAACACTGACCAGCTGCTAATGTGATATTTATTTACAACAATTCAATAATAAGAAGTTAATATTGTGGTATGTATTAGACACAATATTGTCTGATTTTGCTAAACTGTGTAAATGAAAACAACACCTATAAAGCCACAGAAGAGCTGCTGTGTCTCCTAACAGAACTCAATACTGTAGGTGTTTGACTGAAGCAGCACTTGAGCGATTAGAGAGCGTTTCTCGATGTTTGATTTGATGTCAAATAAATCTGTCTGCGTTGCTGTTTTGTTAAAGCAGTGTTGCTGTTATACAGCAGTTACAGTATACTGAGGCTATACAGTTGTGTTGCTGGGTTTTAAAGCAGGTAAATTTACTTTTGGTACTTAAGTACTTTTAATGCAAGTACTTCTGTACGTTTACTTAAGTAAATATCTGTCTTTACAACGCTCACTTGTAATGGAGCAATATCGGACCAGCAGTATCTGTACTTTGTCCACCTCTGCCACAAGAGACAAACATGTTGTGTTTTACTTCCATGAGTGAAATGAAATTACTGTCAACATGAACTGTGCTTCATTTCTGATTCTCTTCATTAGGGTTACGAAGGGTCCTTAATCAAATTTACCTCCAAACAGGTGAGAAATATATGATTTCTCTGAGTATATGAATCACAAGTACAGTATGTCATGCGTATTATTCCTGTATGATGCGTTAATATTCTTAATGTGCCCTTTTTACTTTTCCAGGGTTTTCTAAAGTTGTTTTCTAAAGCTGTGAAATGTGCGTCACTCCCTCAGATGTTATGTTAGAAACACAATCACAGCAATGTTAACTAGATAAAAGAGGTTTGTCGAGACTAACTGTGATGGTGGCTTGAGAAAGCTTTACAAAAGTTTGCAGTTGTTTAGAAAGCTTGAGATTTGAAGCTGTGCAGTCAGTCAGAACAACAGACGGTTACTAAGAGGATGTTGCTGTGTGGTTACTAGGGTGTTGTGAGTGGTTGCTAGGGTATTGTGAGTGGTTGCTAGGGTATTGTGAGTGGTTGCTAGGGTATTGTGAGTGGTTGCTAGGGTATTGTGAGTGGTTGCTAGGGTATTGTGAGTGGTTGCTAGGGTATTGTGAGTGGTTGCTAGGGTATTGTGAGTGGTTGCTAGGGTATTGTGAGTGGTTGCTAGGGTATTGTGAGTGGTTGCTAGGGTGTTGTGCATGGTGTTTAGGGTGTTGTGAGTGGTTGCTAGGGTATTGTGAGTGGTTGCTAGGGTGTTGTGCATGGTGTTTAGGGTGTTGCTAGGGTGCTTTGGTTGGTTGCTATGAGGTTGCAGGATGGATGTATTGTGAGTTGTTTTATAACATGTCATTCGAGCTAGACGCTGATGGAGATGTGTTTGGTGTGTTTATGTTTAGGTCCTGTTCATATTTACTCATCATTTCTAATCTAGTTTGCAATCACTAGTTTAATGCTCCTGTGATGTAACAAATGAACTTATAAAAATAGAAATATTTCATGTTAAGTCTCAAGTGCTGTGAGTTTAAAATCTGTTTAAAATAGTTTTAAATTGAGTTTAGCTAGTTACTCCATAGGATGTTAACATGTCATCTCCTCATATACTACTTTTCTTTCTTTCTTTCTTTGTGAAGCTTTCCATATTTGAAGTGTGTGTATTTTTAGAAATGCTTCTTATCTCTTTCAAAAGCATGAAGGATGTGGAGACACACTTCCCGTGTGATAATGAGGACATTTTAGGGTTAGAAAATATTATTATCTTAAAATGAAGACCGCTGTGTCTGTGAGCGACCGATATTCAGTGTTGAAGAAGCTTCTCTAAAACTTGACCAGATACAAGCTACTCATAAATTAAAGTAGTTAAGCTTCAGTCAAGCTACTCTTCTGAAAAAGTTGCTAGCTACATTGAAACTACATTTTTCCCCACAATGATGTGTATTACAAATAACTGAATAAGCATTGGAATGTTTTCAGTAAAATATTTGATATTTAAAAGAATACAATAAAATTAGGATGTTAATAACTATTGTTTTATTACACACAATATTCAAATATTTCAGACAGTGAAAAGTCAAAGTGCAAAATTGCAACAAATTTAGCATTGCAAGTAACTTAAAAATACCGTGTGACACTTCATCCAAAACAATGACCTGTGACTGATCAACATCTTATAGTTTGTGTTACAAAAGGAGCGAATGCTTGGAATATGATACAAAAGTTAAAAGTATTGTGGTCCAAGTGAAAACAGGAACGGTTTGACACCATCAGTCCAGAACTGAGATGCAGTGTCCTTCAGACTAATAAGAGCTGGCAACTCCATGTGTGTTCATACTGAAGATCTGCTAACTCGACACAAGAGAAGCTTCTCAAAATGTCTTTCAGAAAGACGGTTGTGCTTTGGAAGGTACATGTCTTTTCCAACACTAAACAACCGCTACAGTATTGCACTTAATGAAGACTCTCTGGAAAGCAGGATCAGGTTTGGTTGCTGTAGACTGCAGAGAACTGTCCACTTCATCCAAAACATGCTCCTGGTTCCCGGAGAATAAGCTGAGATGTCATCTCCTTCATTTTCTGACTCTCTTGAATCATCTGGCTCTGCGTGATGAAAACTGCTGTTTTATCTCTTTGCTCGTTCGGTGTGTAAGCCGCTGCCATCAAATACAGTTTACTGGAAAGATAACTGAAGGTCTGCTCACTCCACTGATGATGGCATCAACTAATGGCCCGCAGTATTGGAGGTTTTCTTGCTGGATTGACTGCAGCTTCTCAACAAGGGGCCAAGTCTCCGAGGTATGATGACTGGAGAGCATCGAGGGCCTTGGACACTGGTGCATGAGCTGTGAAATAACACAGAACAAAACATGACAATATGAGTGACAACAATACACCAGGAAAATCACAGGAGGCATAAATCATGTTGATTATTGTATTCTTAAGAGTTAACACTTACATTTTAGATGAATGTGATTAAAGGGGTCATATGATGTGATTTCAATTGTTCCTTTCTCTTTGGAGTGTTACAAGCTCTTGGTGCATAAAGAAGATCTGTAAAGTTACAAAGACTAAAGTCTCAAATCCAAAGAGATATTCTTTATAAAAGTTAAGAGTCAGCCACGCCTACCTAAAACGGCTCGTTCTAACACGCCCCCACATATCTACATCACTATGTGGTAGAGACGAAAAGAGTTAAATAAAAGGTTATTGTTGCTCACTGAAGCTCGCGCCTCTGACCGCGGGAGCGCGCACAGCAGACAGACGCGCTGCACGAGCTGATGCTTATAATTGCATTCTTCTGCTCCAGAATGAACAA